CAGATATATTAAATCTATTATTCGATATACTATATATAAATTTTTCCTATACGTATATTATGTCTACTCTATCTGCACTTACCCGTACAGCGTCATTTCAAGAGGCTTTCAAAGTAACTGTGAACTTTATCTTATTGCATAAACGAAAAAAGAAGCGGACGATGTCTACTTTATGAAACAGATGACCTAGTGAAGTTCTTTCACGTGAAGAATTATTTCTAAACTTTCTAGAACACAAAGGCATGTGAAGGAAACTAACTACTGTGTAGTAGTCATCTTACACAACAACTCTATTGTCTACTTGTATACATACTTCATTTCGGTAAACGAATTGTTGAGCGGTAAACAATAGAAGATTAACCCCCCTCACTGCGTTGTTGAAGTCTGTGCTCGAACTTCTACCTGACGAGACACGTTTGTAACCTACTGCACCCCTATAGTTATCTCCTTTTAAACCTATAGTGTACATCTATGACTGCACCACACTAGCCTACAGAAATTATATCCTTTAAGTCCTCAAAAAGCAACGTGAACTGTTGGTGGGTCGAAAAAGGAGGCAAAACTCCTCAGGGATGCATTGAGAGTTAGGTACAAAACTAAAACAACATTTCTGGTCACATTGTACATGTATAATATGCCTTTAGTCTGCCCCGAGTCAGTGTTAGTTAGTTGATAAGAGCGTTAAACTAATACCATTTCACCATTTTCAGTGTTAGTTAACTTAACCAAAGGTCCCTGGTCCATGAACAAATCAAGAAACCAGAACCGGGAAAGACTAAAAATGCACCGTGTTAGTAAAAAAGCTAAAGGGAGAATGAAAAACGATCGGTGAATTCGGGGAAAATGTTCCCAACAAACGATATAGAAGCTTTTATAAAATAACAGAGACGAGCTTAACGTATTTGTGTATTCAAAGAAGCCATGCAAAGTTATATTATGAGTGTCAGATGAATACAGAAAGGGGTGAGGTGGGGTGGGGGGTATATATTAGTAATCAAATACAATAGATAAAACAATGAGAAAGCAACAGAATGTACGCAGATACTGAGTAAGCTACTTGTGGTTATGTCAAGCAAGCGTGCATTGTAAAAGCTGTACAATAAAACATGACATCGTACAGACAATAAGAAACTGCGTGCATAGCAGGACCTTCAACGACATTAAAATACTATGATCTTACTGCGTTGCAAATGCCTTAGAACATTTACGAAATTTAAAAAAATAGAAACTGTATCAAAGATTATAATTTGCAATATAATCCCATAATTCAACCATAATGTTTATTCCTAAATCTATATTATTCCTGGTTATCAAATACAGCATTAAAGTATATCACAAACGTTTACAAAAAGGGTTTTTTTTCCAAAGACATAAAGAGCATTCTAAGCAGAGTTGAGAACGTTAGCATGACAAAGAATTTTGTCTACATAATTCCACATTAAGTTTCAGTGTATTATCTGATCATATCATAATATTTCACCATTTATTTCTATTACCGTGAGCTTGTTCATTCAGCTCTTGGTCTATGCACACAATTTCTACACAGAAGAATTCTGTACTCATTCTAACCTTGTCCACGTCTGATGGTGACGTCATTTCCAGGGTTTGCGGAAGGCTAACAGAATCATGGTCACTCAGAGAATAATATACACGTGACGAGGGCATAGGGGAGGGCAACACGGGGGTGGGGGCTGAGAGGGATAAGGGACTTCCAGTCGTGTCTGATACAACATACAGAGACTGGGGCACAGTGCTGGGGGCAGAGGGAGTGGGGAACGTGGTAGGCAAAGAGACAGCATAGGCGATGGTGGTGGTAGGCAAAGAAAATGGAGAAGAGACGGCTGTGGTAGGCCAAAAAAATGTAGAAAAGACAGTGGTGGTAGGCAGAGATAATATAGAGAAAACGGTGGTGGTTGTGGTCAAAGAGGAGAAAGGAAGGGTAACCATCTCAGATGATTCTAAGTGTGAAGTCAGTTCCAGTATCTGCGAGTGTGTGTGCAGCAACTGTTGAGCCGTGAGCGAGGCCAGAGGTTCTCGCGAAGACACCGACACATCCCAGGACGGCGTGAGAGACAGGAGAGAACCTGCTGAAATCTCTGGACTCGAACCCAACTCCTCGCGTGTGGTGGCCATCTCAACTGGTGATGACGTTACGCTGACGCCGTGCGACACAGAACTGGCTACAGAAGGTAGGCCTACCGAGGGACCAGCAGTCCCCGTCGTCATGTCAAGGGTTTCGCTGAGAAAGTCTCCATACGGCGAAGAAGTCCCGACGACACTCTCGAGACTCAAGGTTCTAGATGTTTCTGTGACTAAAGATGATGAGTCCTCAAAAATAGATTCGGGAGCACTCCCAAAACTCAAAGTGAGATCGTTGAAACCAGAGCTGTCAATTTGATACTTGGGGGTGGGAGTGCTTTCAAAGTCGATGGAGGATTTAGAGAAGCTGTAAAAACTCCCAGAGGTCATAGAAAGGTCGTGTTGGCTTTTGGATGACGTGAACAGCGTGTGGAGTTCCGGAGAACTGGATGAGGCTACCACGTCCGGTGGCTGTTTTGTTAGACTCGGGGTCGATACAGAGGGCATGGTTTCTGCCACGGATGATGGCGTGAATGGTGAGGGTTCAAAGCCATCACTAGATGGTGACAGGAGGAGAAGGGAGGATGGGGAGGGTTCAAAGCCATCACTAGATGGTGACAGGAGGAGAAGAGAGGATGGGGAGGGTTCAAAGCCATCACTAGATGGTGACAGGAGGAGAAGGGAGGATGGGGAGGGTTCAGATCCATCACTAGATGGTGACAAGAGGAGGAGGAGGGAGGGGCGAGGACTTAAGAGAAGAGAGTTGTCTGAAGGAAGTGAA